AAATACGCGTTTTAAATGAGAAACACAAGGGTGGTACATTTTTTATTCGAAGTTTTATAATATAAAATACACAAATCGACTTTGACAAACTTTTTACGTTACATGCAATTAAATTTTAACTATTCATCTTATATATACAATAAGATAAAATATATAAGATCTAATATCTACCTTACTATTTAGCTACTGGTAAGTTCTGTCTGTTTTTAAAATAAAACAAAAATAATAAATTTACATATCTCTTGAATTCATTAATATTTATTTTATAATATAATTATTATATTATTATAATTATTATAATATAATATTATTATATATATTATAAAAATTATATTATTATATATTATATATATTATATTGATATTTATTTTATATTATATTATTATAAAATAATAATTATTATTTATAACTTTTTACCACATCGTGATGACAATTTGTACATTGCATTTAAAAAAAATGTCATATCCTTAAAGACAAAAAATTGAACCGGTGTTTGTCAAAACAGACAGAACTTACCGATACACCTAATTATAATCCTTATCGTATTTTTTTATTTTTATTCTTTTTTTTTTTACCTTTTGTATTTGTAACAACTTACAACGAACAAAGAAGTGTGGATATAATATTGAGTCAAATATTAATATTGATGATCAAAGGGTTTTTCGTTTATTTTAATTTGTTTTTTTTTTTTTTCATTATGAAAAATCAAATCCAAGGAAAGCATAGTTTCTTTTTTCAGTTGCAACGAAGTTGTTGGAAATCGATAAAAGATCGTTTCTCACTCTTTCTCTCTTTCTTTTTCTCTCTTTCGCGAAAGTCTTATTCAAAAGTAAGGCGCCTACTTCAAAATATTCTCTTTCTTTCTCTTTCATTCTTGGTCGCGTCTCTTAGCAGATGTACGACCATTTGCCATGGCAGCTGCTATCCCCCCATCACTAGGAAAGAACACCACCGTAAACCACGGTCACCAAAACCCCGTAGTATTACATAAAACACGTGTCACGATTTTTCTCTCTCTAAAGTATCAATTATTATTCGTTTATTTAAACTCGATATTTCAAATCGAACGATGAAAAACGTTCGTTTAATTACAAAAACATCGAAGATATCATTCAACTAAAAACCCAGTAATGGTGTTTGGTTGGTAGAGGAGAACAGAGTTCGTCCTTGCTATGACCGATCGAGTGAAAAAACCGGTTTATTCCTGACTGGAGTGTAACGACTGAGAATGTTCAGGGCCCTTGAAAAGTAGTAATACGAACCTGGTTTCTTCCCGTTGAGGCCTTTAGTCAAAGGCCTTACTGCACTTTTTTTCATTTGTTTTTCTTTTTCTCTCTCTTTTTTCCCTATTAATGGGGTTTTGCTTACGTTCGAAAAGGAAACACTGCTAAGAGGTTTATGCCCTTTTTCAGGGATACTCCGTGCAAGATTTCCGGAATTGTTCAAACTAAATTTATCGATTCAAATAAATTGGCATTATCGATTTTAGTTTATCAAAAACCCTTTCTAGACAAATTCAAATAGACGAACTAATTTATCTTATCATCAAAATGATCGGATAGATAAAATAATGTCTTAACTTGCGCATCTTCGTGAAACTTCAATTGTACTAAGAAACAAGTGAACACCAGGTGCAATGAACTTACTTGCGAATAAAATATTGAACAATGTATTAACCAAACGTTAATATTGCATGTGTATATATGCGCCATTTTTCAAAGATTATATTTTTGTCAATATGATTGAATAACCGTGATATTAAAATTAAAAAAAATTATTTTTCAATACTTTAACTCACTTTATAATTAAACAAACTAATAATATAAAAACTTACATAGATAATTTAAAAATATTATTATTATAATTGTTTTTAATTAATATGATTAATTAATAATTAATAATAAAAATTAATTAATATATTATATAAATATTACATTAATAATGATGCAAATTACAATCAAATATATATACATATAAATATTTAGGTTATAGTGATTATGTTAACTGTAAAGTGTCATTCAATAAAATTCGTCACACTTTAAAACCCTGCTCCATCTTTTATTGGTTTTAGTAATGAAAATGAATTGGTTTTGGTAATAGATCATAGTATCGGTATTAAAGTTAGCTGTTAAGGTATGTGAAAGGAATAGGGCCCAAACGAAGTCTGTCTCGTCCCTGAAGGAAAAGGTAGAGGGGCGAGGGATAGGACAGGGTAGGGTAGAAGGAACAGGACCCGTTCGAGTCTTGGCATTCGCGTCCGGTGTTTCATCAGGGGGGGGTTTCTCTCGCACGGGTTTCTCGACTTTATCAGAGTCTCTCCTCTTCTTGGACGTTTTCTTGACCTGTGTGTTAATGTACGTGTGTATGTGTATATACAGTATTATATACTCGCCGGTATCTTCTTATACACAACACACTAAACGATTATTATTTCTATTATCGTTGAAATATTTTCTTGGTGAAAGTGACGATTACTTTGATTTTGATTTTCGAACGTGTTACACGCATTCGTAGAAGTGTTATTCACACGTATTTGTACAATTGATGACGATTTTCTATTTCAAATACAAAATTGTGTTCAATTTCTTATAGTTCTAAACACGACGAAATAAAAAAGATAACCTAATCCAATTGGAGGAAGATAATAAAAATGTTGTAACATTTTGATGGATTTACATTTGTTGGATTTGAAGAAGATAAAGTGAAAGAGAAATCGTTTTTCTTCGAAAGTATCGTGGTGGCATCAAAATTACCTGAAGCTACGAGATAAGCAGAAAGTTCACCAGGTGGCGCTATAAACGACCCGACCGTTTCTCTGCGCACCTCAGTCAATTCTTCTTTTTCTCATTTTTGGAATTCCAAACCTTTTGTTGGATATCACTGGAATAAATCGTATTTGGTGGATGTTATTTATTGTCCAATAAATAACTGTGAATAATTATTTGTATTTTCTTCGTTTTGAATAATATAAATAATAATACGAAAACGAGACAGATAGAGAGAAAGAGAGAGAAAAAAGAGAGTATTTAAAAAAAAAAAATAAAAGATAGATCAAGAGTATTTCCGAGTTCCGGTGGGGTCGAGCAAAGTATCGGAGCGTGACCGTGGTAGTTCTAACGGAAAAACGTGGGAACTATAGTAACCGTAATTCACCGATCCCATCATCAACATCATCTTCATCGTCATTGTCATAGTCGTTGTCTTCAGTATCATCAAATTTTAAAAATCTAATAAATTGAAAATACAATTTAAATTACATTTACGATGATATCAAGAAGATAAAATTTTATTATCTCAATGAAAATTTAATCGAATACAATTTGTGCATTGTGTAATATCGATTAAGGTATATCGAGATAATTGCATTAATGACAAATTAAAAAAGGAAAGATGAGAAACTATAACGATAAGTAAGAAGAATTTAAATTAAAAAGTGTTCCGATCGTCAGACTACTTTTACTTCTTCTCACAACCCCCACCATTACATTTTTCTCTTCCTCTCTTCTTTGGTATTTTTTTTCTCTCTCCTTTTTTTCCTTTTAGTCATCGGGGTGGTGAACATTAATTAACGTGCGTACTAAACGAACTACGAGGTCAATCGAATTAAACGCCAGTGGGCACAGCTTTAACGTGTTATACTCATTCAAAAGTCAATGAGAGTTAAAAGAAATTGCGAGACTGTACCACTCGTTAACGAATAAACGTGATCGTCATTAAATGTTACCGATCGATTCTTTCTTTTACTTCGATGTGTGTATTTATGTGTGTTGACTTTTTCTTTTTGTAATCAACACTATCCAATTGACAAGAATTTTATTGAATTCTAAATAATCAACAAGAGAAGTATAAGAAATTTGAATCATCAAAAAATTATATATATTTATATAAGTTCTTCTTATAATTCTTTTTATTTATAAGAAAAGAAACGAGAAGGTAAAACACATGAAAACAAATATTTGATTGTTATAACGATCGAATGATTGTTAAGTCGTTAACAAAAACTATATGAGTGATTGTTAAATATAATCGAGAAGATAATTCAAATGAATTTGGTCATCATTCGAAAATAATTGACCGAAGAACGAAAGGAATAAAAAAAAAAGAAGAAAAAAAAGATTAAATTTTTGGATGGGTTTAACGTCAGAGTTTAAAAATACATTTTGATGTTTACCTGATCAGTATTATAATCATTATCCTAATCATCATTGAAAAGAGCAAGCTACCTGTACCATCAAAGGAATTCTACCAACTGACAGAACGAGCAAACCAACAAAAAAAAGAAAAGAAAGGAAAGAAGAGAAGAAAAGATAGTTTGACCCTACTCTTTTAGTAGAATCTTCAGAAAAGGGGTGACGTCAGATTGGAAGGGTAACCAGTAGAATTGTAGTATTCTTAAACTCGTGAAAGGAAAGAAAACAGGAGTTAAGCAAAGAAGAAAGATATATAAAAAAGATATTATATAAAAAGATAAGAAGTATACTAATAATAATAATAATAGTAATATATAATAGTATAAATCTTCTTCTTCTTCTTCTTGAAACGTATGGTTCAAGTTTACCTTTTTACCGGCCGGCTTTGAGAAACGAAACGAAACGAAACGTAAAACTCGCCGCCATATTGTCCGAAGCGAGCAAATGCTTTTTCTGTGACGAGCCTAACTCTTGAATCTCTGTCTATCTTTCTCTCTCTTACATATATACATCACACACGTTCATATATAATCTTCTGTGTTCTTTAAAAGTAAACGTGTAAAAAGTTTCTCATTGATGTCAGAGACAACGATGGTAGTGGTGTTAGTGTTGGTGTGGTGATGTCTACGTAGAAACGTCATCTTGATCGTCGACCTTCGTCATCGATCGAACGGGGGAGAGGGAAGAGAGGTCGAACTGGAAGAGAAGTAGTAGGAGTAAGAGGAGGAGGAAGTTGCGAGGGTGGTAGTGGGGTAGTAGTGGGATCGTGTTGGTTATGTCGTCGTCATAGTAGTTAGTATTGGTGTTGACGTTGTGTTGCTTGTATTAACACACAACGCAGTGAAGAAGAGACGGACTCATCGTTAGAGGAGTTGGGCGAACGGTGAGAAAACTAAGAAGAGAGATAGAAAAGAAATAGAAAAGACATAGAATAGAAGGTGGCCAACTCGTTGTGCAGTTCAAACGAAAGAACGGACGAACGAAAGGAACGATGATACTCAAGATTGGTGTTGTTACTATAGTTCTCGTTAGACCATACGAAGTTTCGCAATGGAAATCGTCGGCCGTTTCGTGACGATTAGTCGCGTACGGTCGACCCGTCAACAAACCTAAACGGTTCTTTCACGTTACATTAAGAAATCGAACGAACGAATAAATTAACGAACAAGATTCCTTGAATTTTTTTATTCTACACGAAAATTTGTCGTTTGTTGTTGTGTTATTCCACGTTCGCGATACCAATGTTCTCCAATTGAGTTTTCATTTTTTACACGTTCTCCGTCCCCTTTTTTCTACATTTGGATAAATACGAGATCAGTGTGTTTATGTTTGTGTGTATTTGTGTTTGTGTCAAAGGGGGTTTCGTTTAATGAATCAATTAGTGCAACCAACTATTTTCATCAAGTGACTCCAACAAAAAAATTTGTGTTCGATTAAGAAGACTATTAATATTTTGGGATACTTATATCTGTATTGGATTTTTGTATTTGTGAAGAAAATGAATTCATCAGTGATTTGGAAGAAAGATTTATGATAAGACAAGACTTAGGGTGTTTTTTTGCTATCGAATTATTTTATAATTTGCTTTGGATACTTTGGTAGGAAGAATAAGGTGAAACCCTAGTCTTATTCTTCTCTTTAGTTTCCCGGTTAGTTATTGTTTCGATACTCGACGCTTTTACACGCTACTACTGCGCGTTGTGAAAACATCAGTGTGCTCGAAGAAGAGAAATGGGAAACCACCCGTCCGCCCACCAACCGCTCGAGAGGGCTACCAGCCATGCTGGAAATGGTCTTCGTCTCTCGGTACGTTCAACATGGCCCCTTCCACTACTTTGACTTTTTTTTCATTTTTCATACCGATTTTCCATCCTTTCAATCGAGTTATCTATAATAGTTCGTTCTGTTTTCAACGACAACCTCTTAGAAAAATCACGAATATTATTTCCCATTTATTTCCCCCCCTCGTCCCCCAATATACTTCTCCTTATTCTAAATTTTCTTTTAAATTTAATTTTTATAAAATTAAAGTTTATATTAAATTTTATTTTATAAAATAAAAATTATTATTTTATAAAATTAAAATTTTTTTTAGATTTAATTTGTGTATTACTAAAAATATTGATCAAATATTTTTCATAATAATAATAATAATAATAATAATAATAGTAATAATAATAATAATAATAATAATAATAATAATAATAATAATAATAATAATAATAATTACCGGTTATTGGACAAATTAATTTTATCGTAATTTATATTCAATATAAATTATAAATTTAATACAAGTTCAATAAAATAATAATTTGTTTCTTTTTATATATCGAATATAAAGTTTAACACACGATTCGTGAAAATCAAACTTGGGAACGACTCGTCTTGGCCCTCTACCCTTCCCTTCCCTCCCAATCTTCTTTTTAGCACCGGTTTTTCAGGTTTTGAATTTGGGACGACTGAAGATAAGCCAACCCCGTTTCGTTCCTATCCAACGTGGGCGGATCCACATAATTTATAATAATCCTAAAAAAGATGAAGATGTTACTATTCTAAAACTATATAACATTATCTACAACATATTTATTGCTATAGTCATTAAGTTTTCACAAACGATTAAGGTTTCATTAACGATACTACCAACATTTTCTATTTATGAATGTACATTTTAATGAGATCTTGTGTCACCAATTTTTCTTTCTTCAATACATTTTTAATAGAAAATATTTTTCTTAGAACGTGACGTCACTAACTTATTGTACTTCTCTCTCTCTTTCTTTTTATATTCGTTTCTTTCTTTGAATATTTATCATAAGAGGTTTCCCCCCTTTTGTAGTGTGTACAGAATTCTTGATAGTAGTCTGTGGAATGCTTGTTGATGAACAGAATATGTGACCGTTATATAACGTTGGTATTACTGTCGACATTGTTTTTATATTTTTATCACCCTCTCTCTCTCTCTTTCTCTTTTTCAAATATCAATTCCTTGTTCTAATCGATCGTATCCTAAATCATCAAGATTGTCTAAATGATTGAGAAGAAATTAATATTACGAAATAATTTTATCGAACGATTTAATTCAATTTCTGGTTAATGATATTTATTATTCGTTATTTAATATTAATTCAATTATAATTATTTTTAAATATATTATTTAAATACATTTATTATACAATTATTTTTAAATATATTAGATAATAATATTTAATATATTTAATCATATTAATTGTAATATTAATTTAATATTAATTAAATTATAATAATTAAAACGTAATTTAATTTATTATCAGCTAGGAGCTAATGAAATTAAACTTTTACGAATAAATGAAACGTGTTATTTCTAAAAATCATTTAGATGAAAAATGCATACGATCATCTAACGAGATTACGGAAAAATATTATCGTTTAATAAAAGTTTTCAAACGACTCGTTGAAGGGTGGTGATGGTGGTGTCATAAATCAGTGACAGGTTCAATCGCAGTCACATTTCCCTAGCGATCGAGAAGAAAATTTGTTTCGATAAAGAGATAGAAATTTTAAAACAAACCTAACTGTCGATACGTTAGATTTTTACATTTCTGTTATATCACTGTCTTATCTTGCAATTTCATTTACATATTTATTGCAAATACATTTTCGTCAGATAAGATAATTTATTATAATGTACAAACACGTGCGGTAAAAAAAAAGTTCTTTAACGTTAAACCTAACCACTTATGCGCGTCCTGTAATTTGTACAAAAAACAATGCGATAAAAATAGAATAAAATATACAAATTATTCGTTTTGCAAAGAAAAGACAATATTTTATTCGTTATTCAATTGGCAACAAATTTCATTGTATATTTTTTAAATCGGTCATTTGAATATCTGTATATCTTTATATATAAAAATTCAGTGTTAGTAAATTTATTGTTAATTCTAATCGATAAGTATTACATCTATATTATAATTATAAATTAAAAACAAACCACAGAAGAAAAAAGATAACGTAAAACCTAATGGAAATGGATGAACTCAACTCTGTTGAAGTTGATACTGATATTATAGTAAGTTAAATAAACGATTGTAATTCTTAGTTGAATAGTTATTTTCACATTCGCAAAAGTTTTAAATTGAGAAATTTTAAAGCTGAGAAATACAACACTTAGCGTTCCTACTCCTGGTTGCTTTTCGTAAAGTTTATTTTTATCGGAGATTGAAAGGAAGAGAGAGAGAGAGAGAGAAAGCTTTTAACCGGGTAGCTTTTACAGAAGCTCACATTTTAATTCCAGTTGAGACGATGTATCGTTTCTATGGTTTATAAATTCAGGGCCGTAAAAAAAGTACACAGAATTGATGGTTGAAGAAAAAGAAGAAAATGGGATATCATTTTGAAATAAATTGCTGTTCCTCCTTTCACCACCCTCCTCCCCATTTTCCTCCTTACCTTCCTTACCTCTCCCATCTCCTTCACTTCACCGTTTTCATGTATATGTTGGTTGTTGTTGTTATTGTTGTGTTAACTTACTGTATATATAATTTAATTACATGAAGTTTGTTACGTGCAATAATTAGAGAAATTACCTATCTGCCGCGTTGTTAGCCAAGTTTTTCCCCCATTCTAAAACCCTCCTCTTTTTCCACTATTCATCCTTTTCCCTTTTATTCTCCTCATCTTAGATCAACCTAATCGACGATCGATCGGCCCATGTATATCTCCCTTCTTTTACCCCGATACAACAAATGTATAATATATTTTTATCGTACAATTTAACTTGTCAATTTCTTTCTTTTTTTATTTTTTTTTTTTAACGAGCCCTTTTTTTGTCTCGTTGCAAGGAAACTTCTTTTGACGTTACTTATTTTTTTTGTATTATTACTTTTCGTTCGGTAATTATCATTCGATTAATGGCAATTACATTTCGAGATAATTTCGAGATAATTTTAATGATTAAAAAATGTTTGTTAATGTTTATGTTAAAATATGATTTAGATTTATCTTCGAGAATTTTACTAATCAAAGAGAGAAATACATTTGTTGAATTACATAGAAACCAATATTTTTTTTCTTCTTCTTTTTTCTGCTTATCGTCGAAATGAAAAATTTACCTTCCAAAAGAAGGTTTAAGGTGATAGGGTAGAAAAGAAAAAAAAAAGTAGAAAGAAATTTATGGTTATCCTTTGAGGTTTTATTTCAGGAAATATTTTCTTTGCGTACCTTTGAATTTCCTTTTAAACGAATGGTGTGGGTCTATATATATATATATATATATGTGTGTGTGTGTGTGTGTAGTCAGAACGTCTGGAAAACGTTGCGGTCAAAAGCAGAAAAGCTTTAGCTACGTGAATTTCTCGGTAGAAGAACAAAGTTCAATCTTATGACGATGAAGAATAAAAGTAGTGGGTTATGGAGAGGGAAGGGGAGGGGGAAGAAGGAGGAGTTCTTGATGGATTTGCGTATTCGCTTAGTTAAAATATTTCAAAGTCGGGTTATCGTTTTTGTTAGATGTTCTTGTCTATTAAGATTCCTGTCAACAATTTTACTCCGAACAAAATGTGCAAAGCAGTTTTCGCTTTTGCCTTGTGCATACATTTAGAAATTACGTGAACGATGATTTTCTAGTTTTCTTTTTAGTTTTTAAAAGTGAAAATTTCTTCAGAATCGGGATGATTTGGAAATGGATGAAACGCAAGCAAGCGATGTAACGCGCAAAAATATCAGAATGTTAGGGGCTGAAATACCCGAATGTTATGGAAATGACGAAATGCTACGTCACTGAAAAGAGAACAAGAAAAAAACATATATACATCTATAGGATTAAGACTGCGAAAGAATGAGACAAAATATACAGGTGGCCCTCGACTTTCGTGCATTCTACTTTTGCAAAATTCGCTATTTTGCACATTTTTAAAGATTAAACTGTTTAATCCTCTGCGTTCGAATGTCCCTTCTCAGGGGACATCAGACTAGCCATCAGATGACAATGTTGTTCGAATAAAGAGAACAAAACAGTTTCAGTTTTGCATTAGGGTGTGCGTCAACGTGTTGTGTGTTTTGCTAATTTAGATAAATACTTTAAAACACAGTTTTTGGTGCATATTTTTTTACATCCCACTACTTTTGAACATTCAACATTCGCACACGTTTTCAGGAACCAATTATGTGCGAAAGTCGGGGGGCTACTGTAGTTATAAAGTATTTCCTATTCTCGGTTTCCTCTTTGTGCAGTGCTTCGTAGTCCCCACTCCTAGCTACTAAGCGTTGTAAACGTGTGTTTTTGTGTGCGACTGCATATTACGAAACGTAGACACATATTAACTCAATCCACACATTTAAAAATATAAGTTAATTATTCGACTGACCACTAGACTATCCATGTTTCTCACAAGCAAAACTGTACTATAGTTTCTACATAAGATTCGAGTATCAGAAAAATTTCAGATACCCATTTACATGATCATATCTGTAATATATCTTCAAATCATCTCAGCGTAAGGCTCAGTCGATGCAACTTCGATGAGGAATTGTAGTTGGTTTGATGGTCTGATGGTTATTCACACCTTTTACTTAATAAAAGGGAGCTAGAAGAAGCGGAGCTTTCACAGTAAATATTAAACGAATATTTAAAATTAAATACATTTTTAGAAATTAATAATATTGACTTATAATGTATTTCTTACAACGATGTTTGAAAAGAAAAGTTCGTTAGAATTGTTTTGATTCAAAACTCGATGAAATTAAAAAAAAACGACCATAATTGTTCCGTTCTTTATCAAAACATCTAAAGGAATTAATTGCAACGGAAAATACCTGGTTGTGTTGAC